TAGAATGTTCAACTTCAAAATTTGACCTTTTTTACCTCGCCGTGACCTGAACTTCATTTGTCAAATGGAAATAGTTTCGAATCGGACGACCCAGATAACATCATCTTTAGATGCTTTTGCCGAAATGGACCATTAAAGATGTGTCGCATGACCTTAAAAATGTATACATTTCCTTCCATGACCTTTTCCATGACCTTTTGTGACCCATGACCTTTCCATGACCTTTTGTGACAAAGTTAGGTTTCGTTTGTCAGCTATTTCCTATCAGAAGCCGTTTGAACTTTTAGAACGAATAGTTTCGAAGACAGCAGGGAAGCTATGCAGAATCCCCTCCCGAGTCACCCACGTTATGGGATTATACCCGTCATCCGCGGATTACAAGCAAAAATATTTTTTACGGCAATGATATATCAGCATGGATGCTCATACGTTCCCATATGTGACCTTACGGTTGACTTCACATACAGTAAAAATTCCTTGGCAAAATGTCAACTGGTTAACGAGTTATCGCATTTTGGCCACTTCCGAACTCAAATAGCGGCTGTGTGCACCGGCAGGAAACCTCGGGCGTTGGCACTCAGTTTGTGAAAATCCGGCCGGAGGCTGTACCTCTTATGACGTCATAACTCCGTGACCTGACATGACCCGATCAAATTTTTTTCGGCAAAAGATGCGCAAAGGTTGCCCCAGAGGGTATTGAAAATTTCAGCCCGCTACGACAAGCCGTTTAGCGTGCACTTCGAAAAAACCTCAGGGGGGGGGTTGATACAACCCCCCCCCCCCCTAGGCGTTCTAGCAGTACATCTTGTATATCTTCGCGACTATCACTAAATATTTCAACTCCTCACTTTATTGGAACGTCTTAGTTTCTTGGTTCTTAGTCACTGTCAGTCACCAGTCAAGTCAGTTGTCAATAGCATAGCATTGACGAGTAGTTGTATCGGTGGATAGAAGTCAGGAGCCACTGACTGGTCCGTGGGCCCGTCACCACTGGTTACTGGGCAACAGTTAGTGGTAGATGGTCAGAGGTCCAGTGGTGGCCGCGGATTGGCCGGTACAGTGGACCGGCCAATAAGCACTAGTCAGCGGTCACTTGGTCCGTGGTCACTGGTTACCAGGCAGTAGCCAGTGGTCGCCGGTTACAGGTCACTTGGTCCGTGGTCACTGGTTACCAGGCAGTAGCCGGTGGTCGCCGGTTACAGGTCACTTGGTCCGTGGTCACTGGTCGTCAGTTGACGGTCAGTGTTTGGCGCCAGCATCCCCAGGGTGTGGTAGCGACCAAACTGTTTGTTTTACACGGCGCCTGACGTCGAATCTGGGCCGACTGAGGCTGTCACTCAGCGAATCCATAGGTTTTACAGCATACCCGCTTGGAAGGATTAATAAAATCAGTCAGCACAGTGGTTGAACTTGACACCCACACCCAGTTATTCAAATCTTGAAGTTGAATCCATCAAATTCATCCAATCCATCAAAACAACCAACCAAACCAGCCAACACTCAAGTCACGTGAATACAATGTCACGTGAAGTTAGTATCACGCGTAGCATACCCCTTCAGTTCGAAAACAGAATGAGAGTTACGCACAGCAGTAACGCCTCTTCCAAATCCTCACACGCCACAGGGTATCCAGAATCTCAAATCCCCATTGGCAATCAATACCTGCCGCCCCACAGCCCCCGTCACGCACGCCACCAAGACCACGTTGGTTGCATGTGGGCGGTATGCCCTGGAGACATAACGTCTATCCAACACATTACAACTGATCGCTAAGACAGGGAGCCGAGCAATGGGATGAGGAGAGAGAGAGAGAGAGAGAGAGAGAGAGAGAGAGAGATGAGAGAGAGAGATGAGAGAGAGAGAGAGAGAGAGAGAGAGAGAGAGAGATGAGAGAGAGAGAGAGAGAGAGAGAGACGCGCCCCGCCCATTACTCCCGACACTTGGACCGTTGGTGTATCCCAACGGTTTGTCTCCACCGCCCACCGGCCGTCGACGCCCACATGTTCTCTCGAGAACCTTGGCCACATCGACAGTTGGAACGAGACAAGCCAGCCGGCGGACTACACCACAAAAACGGCACAGGAGGGACGACATCTCCGCAGTGTTTTCGTCGTATCAGAAATGACGGTGATTTGATGAGACAGGGCGCATTACACAAAGGCATATTGCAAGCTTACCACAGCTCACTTATACAGCAGGGGTGGCAAATCATTTGCAGCTCCGGAGTCGAAGTGAACGGAAAGGGTTCGTCGCATCGTCATGGCCAACATCGTCACTATCATTGCCATCAACATCGTCGTCATTAATCCACCGAGGATGAAGTACAGGGGCGACCCGCATCATCCTAACCGACCGACCGACCCGGTGAGGTCAGTGACCCGGTGAAAGCGGGCCCGGGAGTCGACGACACAGCGTCTGTCACCGCCGCCACAGCCGGCCCGGTCAGCCAGGCGATACAGTCGGAGACAGGGTGGAGCCAGATCAGGTCAGCGCCGCAGATGGTAGGAATCCTAGCGTTGAGAACGACCGACGTTAGAGATCGATTAGAGTTGGAGACAAATCGGTTAGTAAGGGACCGTCTTGGGTTATAGATAGGTCGTTTGCCTTGTTTCATTCCCTGCTGCTCGAAACAAGGGAACTACACACCGCAAAGGCCGCGAAACGAGGGCCAGGTAACCAACTCTCGGTAACAATTGAGCATCTCGAAATGGAGACGGTGTGATCAGTCCGTTTCGTTCAGAACTGTCACAGGACAAATTAATAGACTTCATTCTATTTACTCGTTTTCTCTGTGACCTTCAATGAGTTCTTGATCCACCACAGTCCAAACCCTCTCATGCCGGTCCCTACTGCTGACTGATCATTTGGCCAGTGTCCAAAGCCATAAAACCAAAATAAGCTTGAGAAAGGGAAGGTAGTCTAGGTCATGTGTTCGTGTATCAGGCTTCATGCAGACCGGCCCCCAGTCTGAACTCCTAAGCACCTCAACTGCCATCCAATCTGCATGTCGAAAGCTGCCGCCCTGCGGTGCCCCGTTTGGGTGGACCAGTGGACCAATGGACCTACCTAGACCCAGCGTCGGTCCCAGCACGCCGGGCGGCCCATATTCGGCCCGGCGGTACATCTCACCGCGGTCCTATCCGCCGCGACCCTGCAGTCCCGTCTAGAAGCGACTCTGCGGTTCAGACTTGGTCCGTCCCGACGGGACCCTGCGGTCCAGACTTGGTCCGTCCCGTGGCGACCATGCGGTCCTGACTTGGTCCGTCCCGACGGGACCCTGCGGTCCCGTCACACACGCGGCGGCACAGTGGATGACCAATGACCATAACCGGGAGACACCGTCCCGCTAGGGAAGCTAACTGCGCTGAGCTTAACTCCAAAACAGTGGATGACGGATTGTCATATCCTAACGACAGAGCCAAAAGGACCCGGTGGCGATGAATGATGATGATGTGGGTTTAGTGGCGACGCAACGATAAACTCATATGAAGACTAGCGGTGGAACAATAATTATCAGTCCGGTTCACAACTCACAACTAATATTGTCCTCACTAACATTGCTCCATCAATTCCTCCACAACTCCGTCGTACTTGCACGACTAGGATATGGTAAACTCCTCAGACTAGAGAGAACCGGTTTAAAGTGATGACCACGAACCCACTATGAGCTAACATGAAATAAACATGAGCTTACGGCGGTGAAACCACCATGAATGTTTTGAGGATGTGACAGAATACTGCGGGAGTACTCGCACCTATGTGGAAATATCCCATGACTGTTTGCTTCACAGCACCATTTGTTGACAAGCACTAAGTTATACCAGAATTCGTTCACGCAAAATAAGAATTCGTGGAGTTCTATGAACCATACCAACAACGCAATATGGGACATTATCCACTAAGCCCTGAGCTCACCCAAATCCCAGGGATTATCCGGGCCCATAAGCGATACCATAACCCCCACCGCTGCCGCATCAGGCCACCCATTTATGTAAGGCCCGTCAGGCGGCGACCGGACGGCACTCTGGCTTTGGTCGCGGCTCGATTGAGCGTTACACAAACGGCAATCAGCTGACTGTTATCAGCTGAGTGCGCGCGGCTATGGCTTTGACGCTATGGACGGCAGGATACGGCGCTCCGGGATTCCGACAGTAGGACAGTAATGGACACGCGATGTGCCCGATGCCAGACAATGTCAGGTGAATCTCATACACGAAGGTGCTCGCTGGATCAGAGCGCGAGCTACTGAATCATTGCGTCATGGTTCAGCAGAACCGACCAATGAACTGCGGGTCTGACCTGACGTCATATCGATCACAACCAAATTCGATCAACAAAATACAAATAAACCTAGCCAAGGTTGATTCTAATTCTCGTTGATCGACCTAGGCTCCACGAACAAGCTTAGTGGATAACCACTGCGATTGGCAGGAAGACGTCACAAGGGAAATCAGCTTCCAACAGCATCAGACCCGCGAGTAATCCAATCGTACTTCTCCCGACACAGTGCCGTCATTGCATCCTCCCGGGTATTACGTCACACAAATCGACGAACCCACCGACGACCGACGAGATTCGATGGTCAGTCAGTGAACTTGGGATGAACCCTGCCGGCCGCACCGGGCTAGCTACACGCGGTTATTCCGACAGGCCGTTGGCACGAGCCGCTCCCTACAGCGGCAGAGATGTCGACACGGATGGTGGGCTCGATTGAACGCTCTTGGGGTAGAGCGCAGAATAGAAATACGAACTGGGGAACTTGTCAATCTGGCCTAACTGCTGGCTGCAATACCCCGAACAGCAAAAGAAAAACGAAATGTAAAAGCGCTACGGAGAGAAAGCCTCCAAAAGTATGACTGACTGGAATACAATAAAATGAATGAATAAATGAACATTACGCCGATACAAGCTCCAGGCAATTCGTTTCCAAGCCGACACTATTGCAGCCCGCTCCCCAGACCCGAGTACTCGATATTTCTCAGAGTTCGCATGTGACTGACCTCATGAGGCACCTCCTGGAGTCGGTCCAGGGCGCGGATGTGATCCAGGCTGTCAATGCTGGGGCTGAGGCCGCCGTGCAGACAGAAGATCTGACTGTCTACCAGCGCCGTCAGCGGCAGGTAGTCGAACAAATCGGTGAAGTATTTCCACACATTGGCATTGCCGTACTTGCGCAGACATTCGTCATAGAAACCGTAAACCTGCGGGTGGAAGGGTAAAAAGGTCAGCGAGGGTTCGGATTGGGGCAGGTGAGACCAAGACTCGTCTCACAGAAGGACCAAAGCCATTCTGAAAAAAGTACCGGCTTTCACAGACGTCAAACAGCTGGTGTTTGCCCAATGAGAATAGCAAAACGATTTACCGACGAATTAATGGATTTAAGACACCATAAACTGATTATCCTGGACCATTGTTTTACAACAGTCTACCAGCCTATTTCACAGTATCCACATCATTGCTTGCATTGAAAACACCAGCATCGATCGCCCAGCTAGTGTTACAGGCAACAGAGCACAATTATCATCGGTTCTATGGCAACGAAACACAACAAATGGCCACTGCACAAACCACTGCACAGAACTTGCCGTGGGTAATGGCACAAAACACACAGAACGACCGTACTCTACACCGCAGCATCATTTTTTATCGCAGAGATACATCGCCAAGAACCCACAAAAAGCGTGAGTAAAAACAGCGCTAGAAGGGCCAAACACACCCGCCTATGACAGATGGTAGGAGGGGTCAAAGGTCAGGGTTGACTAAGCATCGGGGCAAGGGCGTCAAAGGTCACCGATTGGGAACATCGCATTGGAGCACCTGATGAGTTATCTGAGGACCATTCGATACGCGAAACCACCTGTTGGCTAGTGTGCTGAGCCAGCGGTAAACTCAGCTGATCCAGCAGAGTGATCGAGCACATGAAGGAAGTTGTCATCTTTCATAGCAAAGTCATGATGTTTCATAGGAATTTCATGCATTGTGCTTCGTAGATCAATAGCTCGAGTTCAAACTCCTAGCTATCTTTCTAAGACCATTCTCAGTTGTATTTATTTTCTCATTACGTTCCTGGCTCCCACTTTCGCATTTCTCTCAACTGTCTTCATTTCAAACAAGAACTGTTCACATTTCCGGCTCTATCACACATATGCAAAGATTCATAGTGAACAACACTCATACCCATGCATTCGTACATTTATAACAACACTTTCATGCATTCGTACATTGATAACACTTTCATGCATTCATTCACACATTCATACATTAATACGGTCTCCCTCCACCCCCTCACAGCCATCCCACTCATCTCTCCCCCGTTTCCATCCTCACCGCGGCAGGGTTGTCCCGCTCCGCCGGCCAACCGTACGGAATTTCACACCACACACACATCGTCACTCGCAGACACCGTTATACTTCGCCCGGTCGTACGTACGGTCCTCCAGCAAAGAGTGGTTGGTTAGCCTATGTGCTTTTGGTATAATAACTTTAAATGACAGAGACACTCCTGTAAAATGACTCAATAGAAATGAGAAGAGGGTTCGTGCACACATTTCGGCAGTGGTTTTCAACAGCCATTAGACGTATTCATCAATGCAGATCGATTATTGTGATGTTGGCAACCAACCACTTAATACCTGGAGGGCCGTGCGCCGAGAACCGAGAGAAAGGGACGCGCAACGTGAACAGTGGGAAAGGAAATGGCAAGGAGGGTTAGTGCCTGTGCGCACACATGATCGATAAAAAACGATAGACAGGGTAGACAAATAAGGCAGACGGAGGCAAGGAACGGAATGATCAGGGGCGGAAGAGGAAGCATACAGGTTGAATTGTCTGACCTACGGGGTTAATGGTGAGGCGACCACTGGCCTTGATGGAAACACTTCAGACGGCATTGTATTAGCTATTATTGATTTTATAACTGACGTTCATCTATCCAACAATGTCGATGGATGGAAGGGCACTGGATGACAGGGGGTATGTTATAAATGAGCGTAGCAGTGCACTGTGCAACCTTAACTTACATATCTTATCACAATTTAAGACAGTATCATAGTCTCATGGCCTAAACAACCAGCACAATCAATGCCAGCTCACACGTCCGTTCCGTGAGCATTTACCAGACGCGCGTGCCCAGACGCGAACCCATCGCCCTCACAGCCCTGCCCACCATAGGACACCGACGGGTCTGATCCTCTAGCCGCTCGTCGACCAGGCGTCGGTCAGTGTTTGACCTTGGCCGTCAGGGCAGCACCACCGGCACACATACCGACGGCGAATCATGAAGGCGTCGCCGCGGAAGGCACCACACCGATCCCGCGGTGTGTTGATAAACGGGACGCCGCCCGTGATCATAATATTGTTCATAAACGAGCCGTCGTCCGTGATTATAATGACGACAGGGGAAATTGTGGCGGAGAGACAGGAAAAGTGTGCGATCCTCGGTGGTTTGGGATGTTACAGGTGGCGAAAGAAGCGCTTTGAATTTCAATTTCAGATAGAAACGTCTAACAGCTGGCCAAAGCTATGTAACGCCTGGTAACCGTGGATGATGGATGCGAGCAAGGCGTGACCAGTGGTATGAGACGGAGCTATTTTCAGAATGCTGACAGGTCGGGCCGATGCAGAGGTCAAAGACCCAGCGAATATCGCGACATCAGGCAAAGCTTATACCAAATGTTCCAAGCTCCAGTACGCCAATTTTTATCCAGCTTAAAGAGCAAAATGGATCTTAAGCTTTCTCAAAACACGCGTAGAACCACATAACTCGTAATCGGAACCAACACCGGGCGAGCTCAGTCGTCCCTAGCGCTCCCAATCGGTGCTGGCTCGGTGCCAACTCCCCACACCCATTCACCCCTTCCCACTCCCCTCCCGCCCCTCCCAACCACTCCGGCGCACACTCCCCGCGACCTTGACATACACACAGTGGTTCACAGAACTGTGACCAAAACTGGATAATCCCCTCGTGCTACGCTGCGGCGGGCACTTCGCGACAGCATACACCGATCCGGTGTATAC